TTTCTAGTTCCACTATTTATACCTGCGGTTTTGCCATTCTTCAACGTTCTCACAGCATTTATGACTTATTTTTCATCATTTTGCTTTCTTGGATACTAATATTTATACAATTAATATAACTCCATTCTTCAATATGTCATTAACATACAAACCTTTAAATACTTATTCCAGGGTTTCCTCGCTTCAGTTTCATTCATAATAATTTATCAGTTGCATTTTTAATGCCTTCTTTAGCCCTTTTCACTTACTTCCAAATCAATTTTTTTATTTCCATCAAGAGTTCCCTTCTGAAATGCTTCCCATGCTTTCTCCCCACCTGCGGGCTGAGCTGCCTCTTATCAGACCATTGCCTATGCTGCAGGTCTTCCTCCTGTCTCCCAAGGTCATTGCCACATACCATCATAGGTTGTCATCAAGAAGACTCAGAGATATTGACTTCCACAAGGCTTTTAAATAACTCTTTTTAATAAGATGGAGAAAGTTACCACTCATGCCACATGCAGTATTCCTTGCCAGCTATAAGGGAATCTGTCAGTTTGGGCACCTATTGGCCAGTATGCCACAAATTCAAACAAACCCAACGTTTGCTGCAAGATATTATGTGCAAGCTATGATCTTTAATCTAGAGACTACCTTACAAGCATACACACACACATACATTGCCAAATCCCTGGAACTAAGAGTTACAGGTAATGCACTGACACACATCCCCTGTCTTTATACACTCCTCGCATGAACCAGTCCTCATTCCTTCCCCAATGGGAGTTGAACCTGGGTGGATGTGCTGATCCTGTTGGCCCAACCAACCTACAGTATGTGCAGTGGAACCCTCCCCTCCCCTCCTCTCCAGCTACCTTGAATCAAGTCACAACTTTATATCATGGTTCTGATTCCATTTTTTTTCTTTTTCACCCTCTCCAGCTTTCTTAGAACTAATAATACAAGACCTAAGGACACCAATAATGTCATTTCTCTTTAGCCCTGTAGTGCCATATTTAAAGTGTGAGCTTCCCCACCTTCAGCAAAAGAGTGGATTTCTCTACATGGGAACCTTGACTTTAAGGTTACAATGTTTAAATTATATATACATTCCATTAGAATTCTTAGGTTTGGGGTCAGTGGGTCCACAGCAGATGAGCATCCCTCAGCCATTATTTTACCTCTTTCTTCCAGGTTCATTAAATTTTAATGACCCATTAAGCTAAGATTGGAGTCCATGAATAAATAGCATGAAGTTGTTTTCTGAGCCTGAAGTGTTTAGGGTCTGATCTTGGCTGTTGCCACTATGTGCTGATGGGAGAAGCTGAAATTTTCTCTTCTCAGCCACTTGCTTAGAAAAAGTATGCTTTCACACACACATACCAAAAGAAATCTCCATTGATAGCAACAAGCTTTTTTTCTTTTTACAATCTCTAGAATTCAAGGGGGAATCTTTGCAAAGCAAATTATTAAGAGGGAACTTTCAAACTTAGCTTAGCTTCTTGATTAGGATTGAGTCCCTTTACCCTGTTTATACTAGAGATTGGGAAAATAAACCCTGAAGAGTCTCTAAATACTAGGCATTTAATGTGTTATATAGGTTAGCCTTTAAATAGAAGTAAGAGATTGTTGAGGGTTGGAGGTAACTTTGAAAGCTCAGACTTTTAAAAGGGATGAATGGGAACCTGCTGTCCTGACTCTTTCCTCCTCCAAAATCTTTTAACCTATTAATTAGATTAATTAATTTGTTAATTAGTCTCTGTCATGGCACCTGCCCACTGGAACATCATTCTCCTGAGATTCCTTTGGCCCCCACTGTGGTGTTATTTAATGAGCCCTTAAAACTTCACTCTATCCCCACTCTATCTGGGCCAGAGTGGATAATAGAGCCCTTGTGTGATATCTTGATTTATTATTTTCAGACTTTCTCTTTTGATGACCTAGTTCTTTGTTTTTATTTGTTTGTTTTGTTTTTCTACTGTTGCATTCTGTAAGCTTCCCAGAGTTAGAACAGATTGGGGTGGCTTACAAATCTCATAAATCAACAAACAAAGAAACTGGTCCTGGAGTTCCTTAAGCTGTGAATGAGAGGATATTATGGTATGCAATCTACATATACAGTTTCCCTTCCATAATAATTTCTAGTCTTACATAAAGCAAGCACCGGGCTGCTTGATATAGCGACAGGCTGTCATGCAATCCTCGTGACTTCAGTATAGCCACCCAGCACAACACAATACTGTTGACTTTGCACAAGACAGTTCAGCATTCCTAAAACACCGATTTTGAAACATGCCCTTAAAATTCTGGTTTTCTTTACTTTTCAACAGCGATGGGTAGAACACTTGCATTCTTCTCTAGAAATGTTTTAGTAGAATCCGTTTTTTTCCAATGCCCTTTGAAATATTTGATTAATTTATTTTATGTAAAATTCACCTTCCTGTTTTAGCAAGTACTCAAGATGGGTTTTGACAGATTTCTGAAAACTGAACTCTGCAACAAATATGTCTAGCTGCTATTGCAATCAGTTATTTCTATACTACTGTAGTTTCATTGTGATGGGCCCCTCTGTTCACATGGTCCATGGTGACTGCACTGAGAAACATCCAAATATTTGTGGGAATGTCCAGTGATAGCCTTATTTGTATCGTATTAAACGGATACTCATTTTTAAGGAAAATGCCTTATGTAAAACTGCTTCAAATTCTACCTGAACTAATTTCAGCTTCCCTAGAGTATATGAGAAAACAGAAGGTTTTATTACAGAATATACTCAATTTTTTGTTTGAAACTCCAGAAATTTCAGGGGGCAAATGTCATTCAAAATTTTATATTTTATCTATTTTTTATGTTTTCTCTTTTCAAAGAGATGCAGAGATATTTGCATTATTTTAATAAATCTGAGAGGCTATGGGCATAAATTTGCATCTAATAGAGTCATCAGAATTAACCCAAGAGTCGTATCTGGCAAAAAAAAATCAGGGCTGTCTTAAATGTTTGCTTCTCAATTTAATTTGCAAGTATTTTTCCCTTAAGGAAAGGTAGGAACATTCCATCTCCATTAGGCCAAAAACAAAAGGGGACTTGAAGTGTAATAGCTATTATCATAGTCTTTGCCAGCCATTGCTTCTGTTGCCTATTTAGTAACTCTCATTTATTTTTTTTTCCCTTGATGGAGCAGATGATGGTTATTTTATTTTATTACAATAATCCATTACATATAAAGACAGAAAGAAAGAAGACCATGGTCAAGAATAGATATGAATATATGTATATTCATTCATTTGTTCGTTCAGTCATTAATTCATTAATTCATTCCCCATGCTTTTAAAATTTAAAGAGAGAACAGGCTGAGCAGACTGGAGACCAAATCTGCACTTTACATTAAAGATGTAGTTAGCAGCTGCATCATTTTTTCTCTTTTAAATTCTAAAATAAGTTCAGAGGCCCCAGTCCAGATTGGGACTTCAAGTTTTAATTGTTTATCATTTGCTAAGATTCCAGTTCAGACTGGACATACCATATATGGAATTTGCATGACCAAAAAAAGATTATTTTATTTCAGGAAAAAGAAATAAATAATATAAATTGTGCCTCCCCCCCCCCAAAAAAAAAAAGGATTGGGATCACAGTAAAACCTAGAGTTCAAGTCCATTTAACATTCTTGTTAAAATCCCAACCTGGGTTGGATTCCTTATGCTGATTTTAGACTCTTAAACAAAAAAGCTGCCAGCTGGGCATTTAAAGTAATGTGTAGTTTGGCCCTGAAGCTTTGACTTTCTTCACAGCTGAAGTATATGACTGAGGTTGTGGTTAGTGCTCTATTCCGCTTTGATGATTTCATGAAAAAGTTATATGAGGGGAGAAGAAGACACATCTTGTAGAGAAAAGGATTAAACAGAAGTAATCTTTCCTTCTCTGCTTCCATAAGCCATTCTTCATCTGTAAAGGGAACAATATAGTTTGGAAATAATCTACAAAATCCTGTAGTCCAGCTGTCTGTTCAGTGCAGGCTCTACTGTCAATGGAAACTACAGTTTAATCTCCTGTGGACCTACAGAACACATCTCTGTGAGCTGGTGACATGGGCAGTATTCATTCACCCACAGCTCCATGGTCATTCCTTAGCACATTTGCAGAGTTGGTTAGATATACAAGAAAAATCTTGAAGGGGAAGGCACTGAAGATATATTTTACTCTTTAAAGTTGTAAGAATTCTGTTTACCATTGTCCATGAATACAGTGTTTGAACGACCTGGTGTCATCAACCACAAGGCTTTTGTAAAGGCTGCTTCACACGACAGACTTAATTTAATAGTTAATAAATTCTGAAGTTTATCTTGCATTGCTGATGCTGAGGACAGAATTACTATTCTGAAAATTAATTTTTGAATTCATTGTTTCATATGGCATGGAAGGCATTGGGGTAAATCCAACAGAAGGCCTTTCATTAGCAGATCTCTTAGAAATCAGTGGGAAATGCTCAACTGCACAGCTCCCATTCATTTCAATAATGCTGTCAGGGTTAGCGTCAACACCGATTGTGATTCTTTCCTTGATTAGTTCCATTATTAACCTTGAGGCATGGAACCTTGTTTTCTAAAATGGGGAATTCGAAATCTAATATCAAGTCATACAGAGTAAACGTGCAAGTGCTAACTGATACTGCAGTTGTATTGTGCCTGATCTTCAGGTTGTTTGTTTCATTGTGGTTTTCACAGGGAGGGATGATTGCCTTGCTGCTTTCCATCTTGTGTCTGGTCATGATTCTGTACACACGCCGGCGTTGGTGCAAGCGCCGTCGAGTGCCGCAGCCCCAGAAGAGTGCCAGTGCTGAGGCAGCCAATGAAATTCACTACATCCCCTCAGTGCTGATTGGCGGCCATGGCCGTGAGAGTCTGCGGAATGCCCGGGTGCAGGGCCACAACTCCAGTGGGACCCTGAGCATCCGAGAGACCCCAATCCTAGATGGCTATGAATATGACATTACGGACCTGCGCCACCACCTGCAGCGAGAATGCATGAACGGGGGCGAGGACTTTGCCAGCCAGGTGACGAGGACACTGGACTCACTGCAGGGCTGCAATGAGAAATCGGGCATGGATCTAACACCAGGTGGGACTTAGTCGTAATCAACATATGTTTACCTACACTTGCTGTGTGATTGGTTAAGTTATTAGGCATACGTTTAGTTCATTGTGTTTCAGTACCTTTGATGCATAGCTTATATTTGACCTAGTTTCTCAATACGACATGCTGGTATTTTGTTTTCAGACATTAATCCATCACTCTCCTGTTCTGTGTAGCATGGTTAAATATGGCCAGAGAATTTCTGGCCACACAATTTTGGACTGCCAGATTTCCTGCCTTCATTCCAATGGAAGGTGACTTAGAATAGCATTAACTGGAATGAAGAAATGAGGGATTTGCTTCAAGGAAAACATGGAGATGGTAGACCAGTGAATGAATGTTGACTATTATTGAAGAACATTAAAGTACTTAAAGTTTTTCTTATGGGATATTTAGTCATGTTTTTAATGTAAACAGAAATTCAGGTCATGGTTTTCTGTAGACCAGGCAAAGTTACTTGCTTTTATTAGCTCTTGTGTTTCAAGCAGTATACTACAAAAATCAAAGACATGTGGCATAGACCATTTCTGATGATCTGACAGGTGATAGACAGATTTCTGCATTAGCTTCTGTTTGGAAGCTAATCTGCCTGATGGTTAGTCTCAATATAATCGTATTCAAGTTACTTGCTGCTGTGCAGTAGTTACTTTTTTTTCCTGTGTTAAAAAGCTGACATGGGAGCACTTGAGGGAAATGAAAATCTCATGTGCCTATTGTTGACAGGGAGAGGTAAGCTCTCACTGACTTCAGCAGGTGTTTGTGTGTGTGCTTCAGAGGATGCAGAAGTATGAATGTAGCAGCTGCTTTAAGATTGCCAGATTTGTGCTCCCATTTCCTCTGAAGCAACTTCTGGAGATCCAAACTGAAGTGCTGCATATCCTTAATGCTTTGATCCTATAGGAAAGGCAGAGGGTTAACTCTCTCCCCCTCCCCCCAAATATTATGGATCTGATTCTCTCTGTTCCTCTCTCTCTCATTCCCCAGTTATTTTTTAAAAAACCCTAATTATACAAGACCAAAGAGGTGACCATCAGTGTCACTGTTTTTCCTCTGTGAACAGTGAGATATTTCAGCAGGAGCATCCATAACAATTTATAACTGGTTCAACTTTTGCAAAGCTATTCCCGCGGGAACTTTGTCTAGGCTTAATTCTTATTTTAAGACAATCCTTTTGAATATTTTTACCATTGGTATGCAGAGATATTGGGGAAAAACTGCAAGCCTGCTCAGAACATACAGATGGTTGGTTACAGTAGTGGGATCTAACTTCTATTGCCAGCTGGTCCATATCTAAAGATGTTCCAAATATTAATGCTTGGATAGCTGGAAATGAATACTTTTTTCTTCTTCTCTTCTCCCTATTCTTTTTCCCTTCCCTCTTTTTTGCCTCTTTTTCTCAAAGTTTTTACCTTAAATTCTTCCTGTTCAGGAAGTGACAATGCCAAGCTGTCCTTGATGAACAAATACAAGGATAATATCATCGCCACTAGCCCGGTGGACTCCAACCATCAACAGGCGACGCTGTTGTCTCATACATCTAGCAGTCAACGCAAAAGGATCAATAACAAATCACGAGGTACCATGTAGAGTTTTTTTTTTTCCTGAATAGAGATGGGGTGGGGTGGGGTGCAATCTGTAGGTTTATGAAATTGATGGGCAACCTTGAAACGGATCTAAGAGTATAACTAGTCTATTTGTTTCCACCAATAGCTAGGAAACATGCAAGGGTTGTGTTTGAATGTCACATTAAGGCATGGAATCAAGATGCAATTTAGATTAGGCTGAGAGCCACAGTAGAATTTAAATGGTGTGCCTGGGGTTTTACTCCAAAGCCAGAGTGGGGCCTGGACTACAGACCAAAATAAAAGCAATCATAAAATTAATTACTTGATACAATTCTCTTCCACTGATACGAACTATTTTGCGCATTCTACCTGGGCAATTATTCCTGTTTTTAGAGCCATCCAGCATTGTACTATTACAATATGATGGCAATTTTGTTTCTTTTTCTTTTTTAATACAATTTAAGGCATGAAAGTTTCTGTAATCCTTCTTATCCCCTAAAAACAGATAAACAAAAAGTAGACCCAACATTCCAGGTCTGTCCCTTCTGGTATCCTTATCGCAACTCTGGTGTTAAGCACAGGATGAAACTTATGATAGTGGCTAATATAGCACCCCTTCTCTTCTTCTCATCTTTTTCCTTTAACCACCCCAGTGTTGCAGAGGAGTTGTAAACTCTTCCTCCTCCTTCTCCATTCCCTGAAATCCTCAAAGATTTTTTTTTTTCCCTTGAAGCATTATAGGAAGTGCCCCACACCTATAATGGCCTCTTTTCACACCACCTTGCCTATCGCTACAGCTGATCTGCTTCTGCACAGTGGAAAGAGAAATAGTCTGAGCAGTTGAGAATTGTATCAACAACTTACATAAACCAGTTGCTGTGCTGCTTTTCCTCCTCCTTCCTCCTAAGACATATTCTTCAGATGGCTGGATAGATGAGGGTGGGAGGGAAAGGAAGGATAAGTGGGAGGAGCAAGGAGGTGAGGTAGCGGAGCAGTAGATTGGAAAGAGCTGCTTTGCCCATCCTACCACAGTTTGCTAACACTTTTGTGCATTGTTAAGATGTGGTCATGACTAAGGAGGTTCCAGAAAGCTGTGGGAAATTCATGCGGTCTGCAGTTTGTCTGTTTCTAGTTTAACATGACATGTGAACACAGACTTGTGGTGAGATAATGGTTGAAATCTGGTTAGGTAATCAGGAACTCTAACTATGGCTTGTTCTTGACTTACCTCTTTAAATCAGTGGTATGTGAGCCAATTGAACGGAGAAGGATGAGCAGAAAAATGTTGCAAACCCTTTAGCTTGTCATTTTCCAGCCCCATATCACTCTTCCTAAGATGCTTTTTCACCTGCTGGAAGAATATAGGTGTTAAAAAGCAACTGAAGAGGGGTGATTTTGAGCTGAAATAATGAGAAAGAAAAGGTTAAGGACCCCTTTGCAACAATCCTTGTTTTGTTGCCTTGCTTCAAAAAAAGAAGGAAGGGGGAGGGAAGGGAAGGGAAGGGAAGGGAAGGGAAGGGAAGGGAAGGGAAGGGAAGGGAA